CCCTTCCCACCCTGAAAGGTGACCCAACCAGCCTCACACCTACAGAGACCTGGGGTGCTCCCACCATCAGCAAGATGGCAGCGGCAGGGCGGGGGGAGGGTACTGGCCTTGCCCCCTGGCCCTCAGGCACAGACACACTCTACAGGGGCAAGGGTTGGGGACTTCCTACGGCACCTCCTCCCACAGAGGGCAAGGGGCAGCCTGAGGAGCCACAGGATGACTCCAGGAAGGTCCTCCTGTGACCACTGCCCCAGGACTCCGAATACCGTAAATGAGGCAGAAACAGGAAGAGACGGGGCTGACCGCAGCAGGATGGGAGTACACAGGGCTGACCACAGAATCACAAGCAGCGGGACTGGATGGATGCCACGGCACCAGTGCTCAAGCTACAGGCCCTTGCCATGTGCCTTGGGGGCCAAGACCAGGCACCAACCAGTGCCGCCAGAGGGAAGGGGAAGCCGCCAGCTGGCTCCTCTGTGAGCTCACTGGGAACCTGAAGCTCCTGTCCACCAAGGAGGAGGGACTTGGTGGGCTCCTCTGCATCCCAGAACTAGGGGCCCAGGGGAACAGGGATCCAGATCTGCCCCCTCTCTAGCTGGCCCCTGGTATGCAGAAGACAGAAGATAAGGGGGTCCCTTACTGCTGGCACGTGAAAGGGTGAAAGGAGAAGCTGCCTGTATTGGCTGGGGAGGGTGATCAGATGGGTGGGGCCGGGGCTGGGGCCAGAAGGGAGAGAGGGAGACAGGGGGACCAGCCCCACAGGCTCTGGCCTGCAATTTGATGTGTGACCTCAGTCTCCCTGACTATATAACCAGACAACAGTCAGGAAAGACTCCCTGACTCAGTCTCCCTCTGCAACCCATTCTCCAGTGGGCCACAGGGAGCACTGGAACCTGCTCACCTGATCTAGCCACCCCTGCTTGCAGCAACAAGAGGTGGTGCTTATGGAGTGCTTACCATCTACCCAGCACCATGCTAAACGTATCACATGGCTTGCCTCATAAAATCCTTCCAACAACCTGGCACACAGGTGGCTTCAGGCCACATTACAGATAAGGAAACAGCCTCAAACAGGTTAAGTAATGGGCTCAAAGTCACTGAGAAGCCAGAATCTGAATCATGGGTTCTCTCAAGGAGACAGTGTGGAGACAGGCAGGGCCCAGGGAGGACATGGGGAGGTCAAATGACAGAGGGAGAGGGAGGCTGAGTGCAGACTGAGGAGAGCCTTGAAGGCCATGTTACGACCATGGTCCTTACCGTCCAGGCAACAGGAAGTCATGGAGGACAGCAGGGTGCTCTGGGGATGGAGCAAACCATGACAGACAGGCATAGGCAGGGGTTCCTCCTGCTGTGGGATTTGGGAATTCGCCTAACGTCTCTGAGTCTCAGCTTTCTCATCTATGTAATGGGATTAGGATAGCTTCACCTTGCAGGCTTGTGAGGGAGGAATGAAGCAAATCCCAGATCTGATCAGTTCTCTCTCCCCAGTGACTTCCCACCTCTCTCAGAGTAAAAGCCAAAGCCAGCAGCCTGCCTGTCAGGCCTGTGCAGTCTGTGTCTGTATGCTCCCACTCAACTGCTGGGCCCCAAGCTCCGTCTGGCCGGAATGCTCTTTCCCAGACATCTGCATGACTCCTCGTACTTATTCGGGTACCTCCTCAAATGCAAGGCCTTTCTTCCCTGACCACTCTATCCTAAAAAGCACCCCATTAGCCTCTGTCTCCTTATTCTGTTTCATTTTTCAGCATCCCACTTGTCACTACCAGACACTATATTATATGGATATTTATTTGTTAAAGTCAGACTTTTTAACTGAGAGGCACAGACCTTGTCTTATTCACAGGGTTGGGAGTTCATAATGCTAGAAAATGCTCAATCGATAGTATTTGTGAAATGTATGAACGGAAATCTACAAAGGCCCGGCCTGCTGCAGGCACTCAGTATGTGGCACCTTCCAGTGTTTTCAGCCTTTGCTGCTCACCCTCCTGAAGTGCCCCCACCCCCAACCCCCACCTCAAATCACTGCCCAGGAAGCCTCCTGAGCCACAGCAGCTGCAGCTGGGCACACACACAGAGGCAGGAAGAGGATGGCCAGGGGCAAGGTCTGCAGAGGGCTGGGCTGAGAGGCCTTCAGTCAGGGCCTGACCCCAGCTCACCCTGCTCAGGAGGCTTGGGACAGGGGCTGCCAGGATAGATGGGCAGAGCGAGGGGGCAATTGGAGGAGGGAGGTGTGCAGGTTCAGCCTGGTGGTCTAGGTGACAGAGATTGACTCTGAGGCTCCCCGGCACCCTCCATGGCAGGGCCTGTCCCTTCTTTCAACCTCTGAGGCTGCCCCAGAACTTCCTGCTGAGCCGGCCCCATAAACACTGCTGGGGAAGCCCTCACCCACACAGGGGAAGTGTGACTCTCAGTCCCCCTCAACCATTCCCCAGAGCAGGTCAGAACCACCACTCCAGACTTCTAGGAGTCTCTGGACCAATCCTCAGCCCTAAGACAGGGGCTGCCTCTCCTGTCTGTCTACCCCTTCCCTGACCACCCATTACCCAGTGGGGCTCAAGGGGCTTCCACTCACTGGTTCCTGCCACCTGTCCCTCCCCTCTGGTCTCATTCCCTCCACTCTCGTGCTCTAACATCAGCACTGCATCACCAGGCCTTTGCTTACACAGTTCCCTCTGCCCAGAACATCTTTCTCTACCTCACCCTTCAAACTCAAGCGTCGCCTGCTCCAGTAAGCAGTCTCTGACTCCCATGGTCACAGTTCTGATCACACCAGATGTCACCATCTGTGACTGTGTCTGTCACATACATACTCTCACCAACCTTGGCTGGGTGTTTTCTCAAGGCAAGACCAGGGATACCTATGTCCCAAAGATGGCACACAGTGACTATCTGTCGACTGAATGAACATTTCCTAATTTTACACACAGAGAGCCAGGCAAATGACAACTTGCCCATGGTTACTTGCCCACTGCATATCAGTGGCCAAAGTGTGGCTAGAACCGGGCCTCCAGCCTCCTAGCACGAGGTGCCTCCCATTCCACCCAGTCCCACCCAGTTATAGTTCTACTAGCCAGACCCCAGCCCTCCCTTCTCCCAGGACCACACAACCCAACCACCTGCTCCTTAGGCACTTAGGAACCACCAAATCAACCTTCCCCATTTCTAGAAATGAAAGTGAGTCCCAGTACCAGAAGGGGCAAGAACCTAGCCAGGGCCACATGGCAAGTCAGGACCATGACTCAGACATCAGCCCCCCTAGCCTGAGCTCAGATACCTCCAGCCTGTTCCTTGGAAGAACTGGGGAGAGGGGAGCCTCAGGCAACCTTAGGGATACTGGAGCAACCTCCCCCCTACTCCCCACATACCTCCAAGTGGGCTAAGCCAGTTCTGCACTGAGAAATGTGGGTTTTCAGGCCACAGGCAGTAGAGGCAAATGAGTGTCCTGGTTCATGCCCCTGGAACAGAAACTGGAACAGAACCACTAGACAGTCCCTGGATCTTCAGACTCCCTAGGCTTAGCACGTCCATCTTTAGAGCCAAGAAAGAGATAGAAGGAAGAGAGCAGCCCCAGGCAGAGCAGGGGAGGGAAGCCCTTAGCCAAGGCTCTGGTAGCCCTTCACCACGCACGGGAGCCCCTGCGCCAGAGCTGTCCTGTTATCATCTGGAAAAGTGTCAGTCTCCAACTCTGCTCCTGGGGGTGGAGGGTGACCCATTCTCCCTACCAGGCACACTGTGGCCACTGGGAACAAACTTGCATTTAAGCAGCAAACCCACACAGCAGCCCATGTGGATAAAGGTCCCCATTAAAGAGACTGAGACCAGTGGCTGAAAGCCTCACCTAGCTCACACATCAAGGGGTGCAGAACTGGGCCCCTCCTGCCCCGACCCATGAGAAGTGCTGACTATACCCGCATGGAGTACCCACTGGAGGGATGTGCTACAGGCCAGGGCTGGGAAGCATGACCTAGCCAGCAGCCCGGCCAGGCAGTCTTCCAGAAGGACACTCCTCTCTCCCAAAGGGCACCTGTGTCATGTCCCAAAGGTGGAGAGGACCAGGGGCCACACCCTGGAATCTTGGCTGTCAGTGTTCTTCTCCTGGACGACTGCCTGGCCAGGATCCTGGCTGGGTCATGCTTCCCTGAGGGGCACAGTTGCTCCTGCCCTGTGGCCTCTTGAGTGCAGCTGCTGTGCCAACAGCCCCAGAAGGCATGGGAGAGAGCTGGGGTGGCAACTCCTAAGTCCCTCGGCCAAGCCCAGCCTTCTGCACCCTAAGGCAGGTCATACCTCCCCTCAGGATCCTGATTTCTGTCCACCACTCTCTGCAGAGGCCCCTGAGCCTGGCTCTGTCCCTTCAAGGCTTGACCTGGGCCTGCTGAGCCACATTCCATACTGGCCCCAATGGCCAGCAGTGTGACCCTGACCTTGCTCTTTGAATCAGCCAGCCACCAGCCCTCCCTAAGCCTCCCCACAACCCCACCCTGGTGTCCATGGGAACAGCCCCACTATCACCCATGAATGCAGAGGGGGCCTGGCCCATCTCTCCCCACTGTAAAATGACTGACTGCCCCCTCTGCTACCACCTAGTCTGTAGGGTTCCCAGATTTCTTGAAAGGGAGGCAGCCGGATGTGTGCTGGGGGTGGTAGGTGCAGAGAGTACCCGGCGCCTGGAAACCAGCTGAGCCTCTGACCCACCAGCCAGCACTGAGAAACTTTCCAGGCCTCGCCCATCTGCCACCAACCTGGCTGAAGCATGGCACATGCCTCAGCCTCAACTCCGGGGTGACCCAGCCCAACTCAAGACTTTCTAGGATCTCGGAACCTAGAATTTCAGAAATTCAGAAGCTGGGACTCACAGGCACATAAAACCCTAAAATCCTCAAATCTCTTCAGCCTAGAATCTCAGACTCAGAATTTTAAAATTCTAGCTGCTCAGTGTGGAGAGTAGAGGGAGTGGAGAGGAGAGGAACGGCCCCCTCCCCCCAGCCCACTTCATCTCTCACCTGTTCTGTCTTGTCTGATTCACATCTGGGGGCTGGTAAGCCTGGCGGGTCCCCAGAGCTGCTTCTTACTGCCCCTTCCTGAAGCTCCAGAGAAGTTGAATCCAGTGAGGCTAAATGCCCAGCCAAAGGTCTCTCACTGAGCTGGAAGCCTGAGACAGACCCCGGGTTCCTGACTGTGCGCCTGACTACAGAAGACCCCTGCCCTGTGCATTACAGGTTGGGGAGGGGAGAGAGGGATCCCAGGGTAGGGCAGTGCTCGCTGGGCCAGTAGGAAGAAAGCTGGCAGGGAAGACCCTGGCACCTGGAAGGCCAAAGCGCAGTAGCAGCTCAGGCTTGCTTCTGGTCTTCTGTCCTGGGGGCTAAGCCACCCCAGCACTGGCCTGGCCAGAAGGAGGCAGGGCCAGCCCAAGCTCCCCAAGGGCCACTGACAGCCAAGATTCCAGGTGTGGCCCCTGGTCCCACCCTGAGAATGAGAACAGAGGAGTGGCCATCCTGATCCTCTCCCACCTTCTGGCCTTTACCTTTGCCCTCACAACAATGAAGATAAGGACAGGTGGAAGATTTTAACACATCCCCTCAGGGACGACTCACTGATGCCTCAATCTTCCAGGCCCTCTGGCCCTGGATCCCACACACTGGACCACAGGTGGTCCCCGTCTCTGGGCTCTGGAACCGTGTTTCCAGAGTGGTTCAGTTACTGATGCTCTGCTGTAGCAAAGTCCCAGCACCCCAACAGGACTCAGGTTCCTGGTTTGGTCAAGGAGAAAAGACTTGGACCTTGTAGCAAGGCAGTGTGGGCTGGGTCTGAAGGAAGCTCAAGGCAGAGGGGTAGAGTGCAGGCCTCAGAGCACCCTGCCGTGGTTCCAGTGCCCGCTCTTGCTTTCCTTCACTGGGAGACTGCAAGCAAGTCACCACCTGCTACTGCCCTTAGACTTATCAGCAAAATGGGGTTTGGCAGAATCACTGTATGAACAAGAGCCAAGGTGAATATGACAATAGCAGAAACCAGACCTCCACATGCTCATCCCAGGGCTGGGGCCTTAGTCCAGTCTGCAAGCAGGATACCCTTGTACCCTTGAGGGCATCCCAGATCCACAGCTGGTCACCAGCAGTGTCACCTGACCAGGGGGCCCTCTAGTCTCTGTCTGTCACTGACTAAGAGTTCCCAGGGTAGGACTGGATGTGGACCTCCTCTGTCTGCAATGCCTCCCAGTAATTGGGGTTTTCATGGTGAAGAAATGGAAATTGAGATTCCCAGCTATTCTATGTAATGGATGATCTTGGGCAAATCGCTTAACTTCTTGGAACCTCAGTTTCCTCATGTGTAAAATGGGAATGGTGCCTACCTCATAAGACTATTTTGAGGATTAAATGAATTCAGTATATAAAGTGCTTAGCACACTGCCTGGTACTAGTAAGCTTCCAAGAAATAATAGCTACCATTACTATTATTACTACTATTAAATAATGACTTGTTATTGAATTGGTCACTTAATTCCACGTCCCCTCCCAGCCACTCTTTGACTGTCGCAATGATCTAGGACACATGTCCTAATATGGGACAGGCTCTCCCCCTCTGTACTATGGCCCAAGGATGAGAAAGAGAAACAGAGACATTCCACAGGAAGGCCACGTGGAACACAAACCATGCACTGCCCCTTACTGTCCCTCACATCTGGGGTCACCTGCCTCGAGTTGGGACTATCCTCCGATCCCTGGCTGGAATGTACAGGTCTAAGGGCCTGGCCAGGATTGGGGGCAGGTAGACAAAATGTTCTCTCTGATCAGAGCTGGGGACACTAGGGTTGATTCAGGGGCAGGCTCTGAGTTTTGTGGGGCATGTACATTGGACGGCGATGTCACCCCACACGCCAAATCCTTATGCTGTTCAGCTCCCTGGAGTGGCCACCCTTAGCACAGAACTCCTTTCTAAAACATAACACTCCTCTGCACAGGGCTATGGAGGATGCTGACTCTAACCTGCCCAAGACCAGAAGAGGAAATGACAAGAGCTGCCTGAGGGACTGGACTCTGCTCCAGAGGGAGGGGCTTGGTCAGCTTGGCTGGGGTCACACTCTGTTCAAAGCTGCCTAGGTCACCACCCAGGGGAAAGCATCTCATTCAGCTCTAGGAGGGCTCAAAGAGTAAGATCTAGGCGAAGTCAGACAAAGGAGGCAAAGAACACCTGAGTCCTAACACTGCCTCTCTATCACCCTCCCACTGTAATCTTTCACAAGTTACTTAGCCTCTCTGTGCCTCAGTTTCCTTATCTGTAGAATGTTACCTAACTTCTTGTGTTATTGGCAGGATGAAATTGGTTAATTGTTAATGCAATAATAATATGCATAAAAGTGTCTACAGCAGTGCTACAGGCATGTTTGCTGACCTCATTTTCACTGATGTTATTACTCAGCTATCTCTAAGGCTCAGTTTCTTCCACTATGATATTGGAGGGTGCTGCTCGTCTTATGCAATTATGTAAATTGTTAGTTGACAAATGTGCACCGTCCAGCACAGCGCAGGTATGCAATAAAGGATGTTCCCTCTTTCTCCCTCCTTTCCCCCAGAGAGGCTGGAGTACAAAACAGAACCTGTCCTGACCCCCATCAGGGGTCTCTGTGATCCTAGCCTCATTTCTAGCTCTTGGCCTCAGTTTCCCCATCTGTGAAAGAAGCTTCTAGGCCAAGTGCTCTCTAAGTGTCCACGGCCATATCTGCTCCAGCCTGCCCCCACCCTCGTTCCCTCCTTCCTTCCCCATTTCCTACGCCATCTGCTCCTGATGTGACAGAACCTTTGGGAGCCTGAAGCAGGGTAGCAGGGGCAGGTGGTAGGCAAGGATCACCAGCCCTCAAGGAGCCCAGGGCCCAGTCCAGGCCCCCAAGGGTTAAGACCCATAGGCCCCCAAGGGTTAAGAGCCAGAGTGAGGGGCGGGGGGGGCCAGGGTCAGCGCTGGACAGGCGGGCCGAGAGCCCAGGGCCTGCCTCCCCTCCCCCTCCCCTGGGAACAGAGGCCACTTGTTTGGGCAGTGGCGGGTGGCTTTGAGCTCAGCCAAGGGAGAACCGGGTGGGAAGAAGAGAGGGCTCCGGAAAATGGAAGAGACTCCCCACATCCAGCCAATGCCCTAGGCCTGGTCTACCACTAGCCCCTGGTACTCTCCCAGCCCCTCTAAACTGACCCCCTCCTCTCTCTCTTTCTTTCATTCAAACACGCAATGCTAGAGACAGGACTTAGCAGATAAGCCTGACTATTGCCCCAGCACAGTCTCTCTTTGGGGAATGAGGCCAGGGCTGATCACCCCATCCTGCAGATGGGGAAATAGAGGCTCTGAGGAGTTTGAGAACTTGTAGAGTCACATAGTGATTGGTGGCTGCACAACGACTCAGGGCCCCAGGTCCCAGTGAGCCCCATGGCTCTGCAGGGCCCATCCCCCCCGAGCTCCAAAAAGACCCTTCCTAAGCTGTGCCGTTAGACAGAGACTGGGCAGGAAGGAGGGGCAACAGCAGCCCATCTCTGAAACCTGAAGTCCCAAAGGACCTGGTGATTTGGATGGAGAGGAAGCTTCTAGAGAGATGGGAGGAGGGTTGACAGTTTGCACAAAAGGCTGAGGCTGGATGTGTGAAGCATGGCTGGAGCCCAGGTGGTGGGGGCATAAAGCTGGGGTTGAGTGGGGAGGCCTGAATGCAAAACAAAGCCTGGGGCAAACAGGGCCCTGGTGGCCTCTGCCCACCCCTCCCACCTCACCAGTCACTGGTACTGTGCGTGGGACACCCCCTGCCTAAACTACTTCAGTATGCAAGTAGCCAATGGGGAGGCAGGGTCCCCAGGCCTGGTCCTGACTATCCCCAGCCAGGTATGGGACATAGGATGAGTTCTCTCTACACCTATGCCAGCCGCACCCATCTTTCTGCCATTCCTCAAACACACCACCCAAATTCCTTACTTTGCACAAGCTATGCCCCCGCCTTTCGAGGGCCCTTATCCTTGTAAACTGCCACTTAACTGCCAAGCCCATTCCATTCATCCCCTCCCCTGGGGCCTGCACCCGTCCACACCTGCCTTCATGGCTCTGCTGGACTCCTACCCGGTGATGATCTTGCTGGGCGGTCTCTCCCAGCCTGGGAAAACAGGTATCACAAGTGCCTCAGTCGGGAACCCTGGGACCCACTAGAGAGTCAAATCCTTCCGAGTGCCCCCAGGTGTCTGATCCTGAAGCACCGCCCTCTCGCCTATCTGGGATCAGGGAAGGCTCCCCAGGACATGGGATGTGGGGGAGGGGAATGCATATATCAGAAACCACAGTGTGATGGCTCCTGGCCAGATTTCCCCTGCACCAAACACCCACACCCCCCCGACCCCCAGGCTGCACCCCAAGCCTGCTCTCTCCAGGCCCAACCACCCCACTCCCAGCGTGACCCCATTCCTTGAACACATACTTCCATTTACCAGCAACTGGGCCAGGTAGGGGCTCTTGGGAAGCCATGCCCCCATTTACTGGTGGGGAATTGAGGTGCAGAGACCGGAAGTAACCTGCCCAAGGTCACTGGAGCCCCGGGCCCAGGGCATTGGGTCGTACAGACCTCCAGAACGTAAAGGTCTCAGCGGCCAAAGAGGTGGGAGCCTTCACTTCACAGATGGGAACCCCAAGGCGCCCGAGGGCGGCTGGCTCCAGAGCCTGGGACCTTCACGCCAGAGGACTACCGGCTGGAAGCCCCGGGTCCCATTGGTTCACCCTCCTCCCTACCGTCTCTGGCCCGCCCGCTCGTCCTCAGGAGGCGACCCCCACCACCACGCCCAGAAAGGTAAACAGACAAGATGACCCGGGGAAGCAGACGCAGAGCGCGGCCTCGGCGTTCCGTTCTGCAGAATGGGGAAACTGTAGGCCACATGTGGCTAGGGGGCTGTAGACCTGGAGGCTCCGGCAGACGCACTGACCTGTTTTGAGCAAAGACTCCACGCGGGGACCTGGCGTCCCCGCACCGCCAGCGACTCACACCACCGCCGCCAAATCGCAGCAAGGGGGCGGGCGCGCCCACCCCGCCGGGCGCTTCCGCCCGCTCCACGTGACTCCCCCGGAGAGAAGGTGGGGCTGGGGCAGGGCAGGGCCCCGCCCCCTCCTCAGCCCCGCCCCTCGCCTAGTCACCGTCCTGGAGTCGGCTGGCCTGGCCCGCCTGTCGGTCTCTGTCACTCTCCTGCCCTTCAGGCTGCTTGCGGGTCCTCCGACTGTCTCCTGAGACTTATGTCTAACTCCCACCATCTCGCCCGCTGAGTCCATCTCTCCCTGAGTCTCCCTGCTCTCGCCGCCCCTCTTCTGGTGAGTGTCCGGACACGCACCCCACCCCCAAGGGGGCCACGCCCCCGGGGCATAGGGGGCCATTGAAGGCCGTCCGTGGTTCCTGGCCACCTCCTCCAGGAAGTCCTTCCTCCACCACATTCTTCAAGGGTATCTCACTTCCCTCCCTGGGTGCGCACAGATAGGGTTGTGGGGAAGCTACCCACCCAGCCACACCTCCCAAGGATCCCTCCGCGGAAGGCTACAGCCTGAGGCCTAGAGAACAGGAGACTTCCACCCATCCTCCCAGCACATACACAGATGAGGGCACCAGGCTTGGCAGCCATTTCTGGGTCCGATATCCAGGACATCTCTGGGGCCAGCCACTAAAGAGATCTTAACTTCTTTGGGCTTCAACTTCTGCATAGGCGCAAAGGGTATATTTGGAAGAACAGATCTCCCATTGCGAGGCGGGGCGGGGCGATGGGGGGGTGCGGTTAACCCCCTGAGAAGAGTAAAGTGTCATTAGTTGGAGAACCTACTACATGCCAGTCCCAGTGCTGGGCAATTTATTCTTTTCATCTCAATCCTCACACTCTGCTTGAAGGCAAAAATTATCATCCCAGGTTATGGGTTAGGAAATAAGGCTCCAAGAAGTCTCAGGGCTTGCCCAAAGTTACAAAGCCAGTGCTGGGCAAAGTTGGGATGCAACCCATTTTGGTGAGTTCTAGAATCTCCTGGCTGCCCCCCACTGGCCACTCACCCTGTCCCTCTGGGAAAGAGTTCACTCTGAGTACACCATGTCTTTCAGTGGTAGGGTTAAGGCAAGGAGCTTTTGGGGAGGGTAGAACTGGGCCAGACCTTGGGAAGAACTTCCAGGTCCCAAGTTCATATGGAGTCAAAAACACTGCAGAGGAGCAGAGCACAGAGCCCTCCTCTGGACCTGGCAGCAGGGGTGTCCCTTGGGCAGCAGAGGGCACCTGGGAGCCACAGATCACTGGACAGGCCTAGGCATCCCTCTTGACTTCAGAGCAGTGAGGTGCAGCATAGGGTGAGGGGGCTGGCATCTGACCACTGGCAAGGCGATGGGGTGTCTGGGGACTTCACCATTTCTGTTAACACAGTCCTGAGGTCTTCAAAATGACCTAGGGAGGGTGGGACTCACTGAGCCTGGTCCCCACCAACTGCACTGGAGTCTGAGGCCCTTCTCCTACACCCCTGACCTCCTTCCTCCAGGGTATGCTGCCCCAACCTCAGCTCTGAGGCCCACAGCCCTGTGGCTTGAGACCCACTGACCCCTCCACCTCCCTTCCGGGATGACAGGAGAGTGTCAGACCCCGAGTCCATGGGTTGGACCCAAAGGGCCTTGGGCTTAAGGACACACAGTAGAACCTCACCCCCTGACTCCTGGCCCAGGGCCTCTGGCCAGGCCTGCTCCTTCCCTTAGAGCAAAGGTCCCCAATCCCTGGGCCACAGACTGGTCCTGTCAGGAACCTGTTAGGAACCAGGCTGCACAGCAGGAGGTGAACAGGGGCTGAGTGATCATTGCCGCCTCTTGTTAGATCTGCAGCGGCACTGGATTCTCAGAGGAGTGAGAACGCTATTTTGAACTGTGCATGTGAGGCATCCAGGTTGTGCGCTCCTTATTAGACTCTAATGATAAATGTAATGCCCTTGAATCATCCCAAAACCAATCCTCCCCGCATCCTGACCCATGGAAAATTTGTCTTCCACAAAATCTAGTCACTGGTGCCAAAAAGGTTGGGGACCTCTGCCTTAAAGGAGTGAAAAGAAAGCAAATAGCTTGGCATGAACGCCAAAATGATCACTCAACAAAGACAGCTGGATAGACATGGGCAGAGAATGGAACAGAGTATGGACAGGAGGAGAGCAGTGATAGATCCATCCCATCCCCACCTCACAAGGGGAAATGAGGAGATGCCCGAAGGATCAAAGGCCGGTGATCAATAACTTTAACAAAATTAAGGGCAGAAGCAGGGGACTGCGGCAGCGGCCGTGAGGCAGGTGGCAAGCAGGCACAGTGATGAGCCGGCTGAGGCTGTGGGATCGTTTATTGGGGCTGTGTCCAGCCAGGCTGCAGCGCCCACCTGGGCTCAGCCCAGTGCCACCAGGAGGCACCGGGTGGGGGAGGGGAGAAAGCGCGGAAACAGCCACCATCCGAGGGCTCGCCCGGTCCTGTCTCGGTCCCTGCATTGGTGCCACACTCAGGTGAGCGAGGTGTCGTCGTCACTGCCCTCGCCACCCGCGCCACCCATCCTCTCCTCTCGGCTCTCTGCCACCGTGCTCTCGTCGATGTTCTCCAGTGAGTCCGCATGCTGCACTGATAGCTCCGACAATGCCAGGCTGGGCAACGGGCTCTGCTCCGGGTGCAGCCAGGGCTTGAAGTGAGGCAGATGCTTCTGCTTCCATTCGGGGTACTTGAGGCACGCCTTATACATCTTCTTCATGGCCTGTGGGCCCGCCACCCCGCCGGGTCAGGGGGTGGCCAGGGCGGGGGTCCAGGTCTTCTCCACGCCCCCTCCAGCGCCCTCTAGCAGCTCAGCCCCCAGCATCCTGACTCACTCCCTTTCAAAACTTCGCCCAGGCCTGGCGCGGTGGCTCACGCCTGTAATCCCAGCACTCTGGGAGGCCAAGGCGGGCGGATCACCTGAAGTTAGGAGTTCAAGACCAGCCTGACCAACAAGGTGAAAACCCGTCTCTACTAAAAATATAAAACTTAGCCGGGCATGGTGGCAGGCACCTGTGGTCCCAGCCACTCAGGAGGCTGAGACAGGAGAATTGCCTGAACCCAGGAGGTGGAGGTTGTAGTAAGCCGAGATCATGCCACTGCACTCCAGCCTGGGTGATAGAGCAAGATTCCGTTTCAAAAAAGAAAAAAAAAAAAAAATACTTTGCCCCTCAGCCCTAATTGCCCTCCCTGAGCCCCAGGCTATACTCTTTTTTTTTCTTTTCTTTTCTTTTTTGAGACAGAGTCTCACTCTGTGCCCCAGGCTGGAGTTCAGTGGCAATATCTTTGCACACTGCAACCTCTGCCTTCCCAGTTCAAGCAATTCTCCTGCCTCAGCCTCCTGAGTAGCTGGGATTACAGGTGCCCACCACCACACCCGGCTAATTTTTGTATTTTTAGTAGAGACGGGATTTCGCCATGTTGGCTAGGCTGGTCTTGAACTCTGGACCTCAGGTGATCCTCTCACCTCTGCCTCCCAAAGTGCTGGGATTGCAGGCATGAGCCACCACACCTGGCCCCCAGGCTTCAAGCTTGACTCCACCCACCTTATCCCATAGTCTTCTCTCCAGCCTCCAACACCCCCCAAAATCCCAAGGCCACTCACCTTGGGAGCCAGGAACTGAGAAGATTTATTCACCACCCACTTGGGTAAGGAGCCTGTGAGGGCAGGGAATGGAAAAATCTATCTCAGAGACCCAGCCCCTCTCTCCTGACAAAAGCCCCTCCCTCTGTCCAGAGCTTCCAGGGAGGCCACTGTCTTCCCCTCGGGGAAGGGGTGTGTCAGGCAAATCCTACAAGACTTCACCCTCACTCCTTTCTACCTCAGACCGAGATCCTCAGGCTCAGCTCTGTCCCCCACTTTCCCTCTGCCCAGCCTCAAAGAGTACATGGAAGAAAACCACAGGGTCCTAGGTGAGCACAAGCTATACAAGAGTGGAAACTCAGACCCACCCCGCTGCAGCTTGCTGCCTCCCTCAATCACACTGACATCCCTTCTCAGCCTAACCTCCCTCCCAGGAATGGCCCTGAGGCTCAGCCCTCCTCTGCCTGTCCTTCCAAGCCTCCCCTAACCACACAGGCCTCTGGCTGAGCACCCCAGCCTGGCCTGACCTGGAATCCACCACCCAGCTCTCCATCCTGTCTCATTCTCAAGTGTCCACTCTGACACTGACACCCAACACAATGAGGTGCCAGGGGAGCGCTGGGCCTGGACCACTGTGCACTCCAGGGCATGGAGCATTCCCAGGCAAGGATGCTCAAGGCTTCCCCATCCTCTAGTCACTCACTCACTCACTCACTCACTCCAGGTTCACTGTGACACCAACCTGGGCCAGCCCTGGGGACCCAGAGAGGAGCTCATTGGGGGCCTAACAGGAACCGAGTGTTCTGCTAGAGGGGAATGGGCCACAGAGCAGGGAGCCAATGGCTCCCCTGAGTATCAGGGAAACAGGAGGTGACACCTGCAGCAGCCCTGGAGGGATGAGGATGGGAGGCTGTGGGGAAGGGCTGCCTGGGCAGAGCGGTGGGGACGGATGAGGTGTGAACAATACCAGGAGCCCTGGGACGGGGCTTAGGCTTTTCTCTGAGGGCAATGGAGAGCCACAGAATAACTTAAAGCAGGTGAGAGTCATGAGGAAATAAGTGTTTTAGAAAAACTCCTCTGGCAGCCAGAATACACAGACAAGGTGGCTGGTACGGAGAGAAATGCCAGACTCAGGAGCTTCTGAGGAAACAGAATCAATAGGAATCAGTGGCTGGATTTGGCTGAGGAAGAGGGAGTGGCCCCAAATGACTGCGCATCCTGGGCATGGGTGACTGAAAAGCAGAGACTTGGGGTAAGGGGCAGGTCAGGAGGAAAGATGCAGAATTCCCCGCTGGACACAGAGAGGCTCCGGTGCCTGGAAGACATCCAGAGGGAGATGTCCAGGCAGCTGAGGGCCACAGGGATCTGGATCTCAGCTGAGAGAGATGCAGCCACCTGTCACAGAAGCCACAGGAGTGGATGAGCCATCCCCAGAAAGAGAAGACTGAGGCCTGGAAAACCCAGGCCTCCAGGATGGGCAGAGGGAACAGCCAGTGAGCAGTGAACAAGGCAGAGCATGGGGATGGCGGAGCCCAGGAAAAAGCACCCCCAGCTTCATCAGTAGGGCAGTGGTACCTCCCTGGCCCACTCTTTTCAAACTACTGTAAAGTCCCAAGCCTTGGTTCAAGGACGGCTGCGGATGGAGATGCCCCAAAATGCAAAACAGCTACTAATAGATGCCCTTCTGGATCCCTAGTAGATCAGACCCCACCCCTGTGGTATAGGGAAGGATCTCATGATAGGCTGCCAGGGCCAAGCCCTCACCTTTGGGGTCCACCTGAGCCAGGTAGGTGATGACGCAGCTCTTGGGCCCCGTGCTCTGGATGAGGTAGCCCGTCTGGATGGACACAGCTCGGACCAAGTCTTTCCGAGGTGGGTATTTCTGGGGATGGAAGGCACAGGGAGGTGAGACTCGGGGTGGGGGCAAAGATGATGTTTTTGTGAGTATACACAAACACGCACGCATGCACGCACATGCGTGTACACACACATACACACACACAGTTCACATGCCGTCACATCTGTTCCAGACTAGGCCTGATTCTGGGTGCAGAGAAAGGGAAGAACCAGACTAGGTCATCCTAGCCCCTCTTGACGCTTTCCCTGTCCCCTCAGAAAAGCCCCCAGTCCGGGGGTCAGAGCTCATGAGCACATATGGGTACACACACACTCACCCTTGCCCAGCCAGCTGTACCTGCCTGTCCTTGCCCAGGGAGATCAAGGTGGCCCAGCCTCAGGGAGGGCTAGAGGACCCTGCCTCTCACCTCTGCTCCTCGTTTCCCTGTCCCAGAGCCCAACCAACCAAAGTCACCCCATCCCACCCACTCGCCACAGAGGTGGCCACACTGCCCTCTCCCGATCTGCTCAAAATCCCCATCAGGGAGAGAGAAGTCATTATCTTCACTGTACAGGAAGGAAACTGAGGGCCAGTGGGCTCCACGCCTGCTTGAAGTCACATGGAAGTCACAGCGGCAGCCTCAGCCTTGCCCTGCCTAACTCTCTCCCCTGCCCCGCTGCAGGGAAGGCAGGTTGACTCACAGGATGTTTGACTGAGTAGTTCATAATGATGTAATCAGCGCCCATGGGGAGCCAGGAGCGGAGGGTGATGACATCACGGTTCTTCAGGGGCTTGGGACACCTCCCTGTGGAGGGCAAGGGACAGTTCAGCCAGACCACTGGCCCACCTGCCTGCAAGGGAGGGTGTGGCGGAGGCCAGAGATGCAGGGATGCCTAAGTAACTGCCAGCCCCCCAGTGCAAACAGGCACCTCTCTCCCAGACCACAGTCCCACAGCTGGAGCCAGGGTAAGACCTGTCCCGACTGCCTCCAGCCAGCCCTGCTCCTCACAACCTCACACAGCCCTTACCTTGTCAGCCTGGCTGGCTTGTCTATATGAATGTGAGTGTACAAGAGAAAAACGGTGTGAATGTGCATGAAAATGTGTCCCTGGGACTATGTGGCATGTGGGTACGAGCTGTGTATGTGTTTGAGTGTATGCGTGTGTGTGCCTATGTGTGTGTGTGTACGTGATCATGTGAGTGCATATGTGTGAATGTACATGTGTGTGCCTAAGGGTCTAGGAATGGACAGGGATGTCAGGGAGAGCAGCTCTGTGTCTCAGCACTCAAGTCTCTGAGCAGCCTGGTCATGGGAGTGACCAGAGGAGGGAGGGGGGAGGAGGAGGCTTGGTGGGAGGCCTGGATGGAGGCCAAGGAGACAGGGATCAGCATGCTATGCCCGCTCACAGGAGTAGTAGCCCACGTCAGCGTTGACTGTCAAGCGGGCGATGTCGAAAGTCTCAATGACGTTGCTGTCCCATTTCTTTCGGTACTCAATGTCGTGTAGGACGTCATAGAGTGTCTCAGCTGGCACATCACGGCACTCCATCCGGCACTGCAGACAGATACATGGGTTGTCAGGATCACATGGAGCTCAGAGCCCTGGCCAGAGGACCAGAGGGCAGACAGGCAGAGGAGGAGGAAGAGACAGAGAACAGGGAGGAATAGAGGCCTCTGACGCCAGCATGGACTTCCTTCTTGCCACAAGCCCTGGCCAGCTCCCTAAAAAGCCACCGGTGCCAGGAGACAGAGAGCCTCTCTATCCAGAGACCATCTCCCCCTACTCAGCCCAGTCTCTTCCTCCAGGAAGCCTTCCCAGCCAGACCTTCTGGGCTTCTGTGCAATGAATCTCTATGTCTGTGCCCTCCCAGACCCCTGAGAGCTCCTCATGGGCAGAGGTTCATGGTTATTTCATCATGGAGCCTGGAATGGGAATGGGTACATGTTAAATGAAATGAAAGCATAAATGAAAATCAAATGCCCAAATGGATGATTTATTTCCTCCCTGATACTTGTCACCTGGCCATACCACTTGTCCTCCTATTTGTGTTTTTTTTTCCCCCTTCAACAAACATCTTTGGATTTCTTATTATGTATTAGCCTTGCCCTCAAAGAGCTTTTCATCTGGGAAGAAGATGGCCAAGGACACCTTGTTTTTTGTTTTGAGACGGAGTCTTGCTCTGTTGCCAGGTTGGCAACCTCTGGGCTCACTGCAATCTCCACCTCCCGGGTTCAAGTGATTCTCCTGCCTCAGCCTCCCAAGTAGCTAGAACTACAGGCGCACACCACCACACCCAGCTAATTTTTGTATTTTTAGTAGAGATAGGGTTTCACCATGTTGTTCAGGATGATCTCGATCTTTTGACCTCGTGATCTGCCTGCCTCAGCCTCCCAAAGTGCTGTGATTACAGGTGTGGGCCACTGTGCCCGGCCAGGACACCTTGTTTTATTTAACCCTCCCAACAACTCTGCCAGACAAGAAATCCAAGAAGGGACTTGAGGCTCAAAGAGGTTAAGTAACTCGCCCAATGTCACTCAGCTGGTAAGTAGCAGAGCTAGGATTTAACCCAGATCACATGTCTGGAAAGCAAGTAAAAACAGAACCAGGTTTCCCTAGGTTTGCACTCAGTGAGATGAAACTCAATGTCCTTGTTCTGTGATTTTTTTTTTAACCCAAGAGCCCTATCCCCAAGATCAAGTTCTTCTCAGCAAATGGACAAGTTTTCTTGTGTAGTTTAAAAAGGTCTCTCGCCGGGCGCGGTGGCTCAAGCCTGTAATCCCAGCACTTTGGGAGGCCGAGGCGGGTGGATCACAAGGTCAAGAGATCGAGACCATCCTGGTCAACATGGTGAAACCCCGTCTCTATTAAAAATACAAAAAAAAAAATTAGCTGGGCATGGTGGTGCGTGCCTGTAATCCCAGCTACTCAGGAAGCTGAGGCAGGAGAATTGCCTGAACCCAGGAGGCGGAGGTTGCGGTGAGCCGAGATCGCGCCATTGCACTCCAGCCTGGGTAACATGAGTGAAACTCCATCTCAAAAAAAAAATAAAAAAAAAAATTTAAAAAAAAAAAAAAAAGGTCTCTCAGAACTGGCATTTAGACAGTGCCAAAGGAGCCCTCACATAACACTTTCCACTCACAAGGGGATGCAAGCAACCATATGAGGGAGAGATCACACTGCCTTCCCCCTCATCCCAGAATAGGCCTTGGCACCACTAATGATGGTGGGACACCACAGGAAGGTCACATCATCGCCTGCTGGCTATTCTAGGCACCAAGAAACCCATCAAGCCCTGGATATAACTTCCGTTTATAGAAAATACAGAGGACAGAGGAACGAGGTAAGTGACACCACATGAGAATGCAACCAGACAGAGCCAGATAGTGAACCATTCCACGGGGCTACTAGCCGAGGTTCTTCCACCAGTCAATGTCATAACAAAGGGGCAGGGAGGGACTGACCTGCAGGATATAACAACCACATGTAAAGTGCGTTTCTGGATTGCAAACTGATTTGGACACACCATCTATAAAGGGCATTTTGGGGACAACTGGAGAAATGTGTATGTGATTAGAGTATCAGGTGCACTGAAAATTTATGGAAACAAAATGGGTGGAGACTGCTGCCTTAAAAAAAAAGATTACAAAATAGGTCGGGCATGTAATCCCAGCACTTTGGCAGGCTGAGACAGGTGGATCACTTGGGGTCAGGCATTCAAGACTAGCCTGGCCAACATAACGGAACCCTGTCTCTACTAAAAATACAAAAATTAGCCGGGAGCGGTGGCGTACACCTGTAATCCCAGCTACCCAGGAGGCTAAGGCATGAGAATCACTTGAACCTGGGAGGTGGGGGTTTCAGTGAGCCAAGATCATGCCACTGCACTCCAGCCTGGGCAACAGAGCAAGACTCCATCTCGAAAAAAAAAAAAAAAAAAGCAGCATAACCACAATTGGGGGAAAAATATATGCATAGAGGAAGCCCAGGAAGCGGAATTGCTAAGGTGCTCACAGTGGAGATCTGTAAATGATAGAAATGTGATGGTTTCTTTTCATTTTGCTTGTCTATATTTCTTATTTTTGTTTTTTTCTTTTTTTGAGACAGAGTCTTGCTCTGTCACCCAGGCTGGAGTGCAGTGGCACGATCTCAGCTCGCCACAACCCCCACCTCCTAAGTTCAAGCAATTTTCCTGCCTCAGCCTCCCAAGTAGCTGGGACTACAGGCGTGTGCCACCACACCCAGCTAATTTTTTTTTTTTTTTTTTTTTTTTTTTTTTTTTTTTTGTATTTTTAGTAGAGACAGGGTTTCACTATATTGGCCAGGCTGGTCTCAAACTCCTGACCTTGTGATCCACCTGCCTTAGCCTCCCAAGTGCTGGGATTACAGGCGTGAGCCACCTTGCCCTGCATATTTCCAATTTTCTAACATGTATAGTATTGCTTCTGAAATAATGAAAACAGTTTCAAAAGGTCCCCCAGCAATACTGAGAGGTGCACCTACCATGTGCCAGGTACTATACTAAGTGCTTTATACACATTGTTTTATTCTTACAGCAGTGCTCTGGGATATTGGCCCCATTATAGAATTAAGAAAACCAAGGTTCAAGGACAGACTCGAGGCTGCAAGACTATTTGTGTGACCCTGAACAATTCACCCTCCCTCTCTACCCCATTTACCTTTCTGCTCTATAATGGGGCATGACTAGATCCAACCATTTAACCAGCAGCCCCCAGCTCCAGCCCTGTACTGAGTCCAGAAGATTCAGAGAGGAATGTGAGGCCTGTCTTTGAGAGGTTTGCAGTGAAAGGAAGAGCCACGCTTGGAAATGGGGAGGTGCCCTAAAGTTCTCAGTGGGGGCGTAAGAAGGAGATCAGCTCCATGGGCTGGGTGGGGGATCAGGCTTCACGGAGAATCTCAGTGCTGAAGGTAGGTGCTTGCCAAGTGGCCCGGGCAGAAAGAAGGGCCAGCCACGGTGCAGAGGCAGGCGAGAGTGTGGCCTGTGGGCAGTGAATGAGTTCCATCTGGCTCAGTGTCCACAGTGTGGTATAGCCTACCACTCAAAAGGTGTCTGGCTCTAGGTCTTCTTGGAAAAATGGGTGATTCCAGGGCTGGGTCAGAGAAAGTATAAGATGAGCCTGGAACATCTTCTTGTGCCAGGAAGTAAGCAAATACTCAAAGAATGATAAAGATTCTGGACATAGGAACCAGCCTGAAGGGCTCTCCCTCTGGTAGAGTGACCAGCACTTCAAGGTTTACCCAGGACTTTCCCAGTTTTACCACTGCAAGTCTCACATTCTGGGAAATCCCTCAGTCCCAGGCAAGCTAGTGTTGGTCACCCTACCTGGGCTCAAGCTGAGATAATCTTCATATTAAGCTCAGTAATGACCATAACCGATTATATTCCATTGAATAAAACAGGAAACCAAAGTCTATACAGATATGAATAAACAAATAAGTGGAATGTTTGATGAGAAATGGGGGATTTACACAGTTTCAAAGTAACTTCCCATCCAAAATACTTACTAATTACAAAGGGAACATGAGTCACTTCACAGTAGTTAAGCCTGGCAGATAGCACCTGCATCAGGTGATCAAAGTGAGTATCATTAATCACAGGACAAGCTGCCGTCAGGTATTGTCTGGTAGGACGCAGTAAGAGGAATACAGGTATCACTTCTGTGCTACCTCTGTCACAGAGACATAACATAAATAGAATCACAGGGAACATCAGACAAACCCAGAATGAAGGCTTGTATCATTTTACAAAATAATTGGCCTATAAATGTCAGGATCATGAGAGTCACGGAAAGAACTATGTTAGACTGAGGTGACTAATGAGATGGGAGTGATTGGGTAAGTGAATGAAGGAACAAAGTGATGGGAGGAATGCGATGGTGAGAAAGGGGGTTGAAGAAGATGGCACAGGCCCGATCCGGCATCATCATAGCATCCAAACAACGTCTAGTTGAGCGGCCACAGGAAGGTCCAGGCACTGCCCCAGACATTCAACATGTACTCACTCTTCACCCCAAACCTAGCAGGTGGCTGCTGTTATCATTCCTGCACTGCAAAATAGAAAACTGAAGCTCGGGAGATTAAGCAACTTGCCCAGATCATAGAGCCTGAAAGCAGCAGAGCAGGGACTCAAAAGAGGATCTTCCTGTCCTCTTAACCACCAAAGAGCACTCAAGTATGGCTTCTGAGAAAACCAGAATTTCTCTAAATCCAAATTTGGATGCTTGTTGGCTTTGCAAATCTTCAAACATGTTATCCTGGACCATGAGTGTGTGGCGGGGGCAGTGACAACAAAAGCCTGCTTCCTGGGTTAGAATTCAACCTGGGGCTGCCTCTTCCCCAGCCAAGCTCAGTGCCCCCAGGGCCCAGCTGCAAGGCAGCTGAATGCACACTGGGAAGGGGTCCATGCTGCCCACCCTCCTTGCAGAGGCTCCCAGAGCAGGGCTGTGTGGCTCCAGAGGCCAAAGACCGACCTCTGGGACAGAGGGCAGTGGGCGGAGCATGCAGAGTCAGAAGACAGACCAGGTGCTCATTGTAGACTCTGCGTAGCCCTTTATCTTATAGATAAAGAGAAACTTCAAAGGTTTCCGGGGGTAGTGGCAGATGCTTATGGAGGAAGGCCCCTGACTGGAGGGTGAGAACCCTTGCTGTGGCAATGCAGGTGAAGAAACTGAGGCAGGCCAGGTAGGGGGGTCAGGGAAGTGTCCACCGGCATCCCCAGCTCAGCCTGGCTCCTGCACTTTCCACAGCCCCCAGCAGGCAGCACTGCTGCACCAAGTGGAAGAAATTACATCCATCTTTGTTCCTGCCAGAGGTGGTGGCCACGCCCCAAAGATGTAATTCTATGAGGCTTGGGGAGCGACAGCTGGTGGGGTAGGGCTGAGTCTCTGGACAGCACCAGGTGCGCAGGCCTGTACCAGGAACCCACAGCTATTAGGCCCTGGGTGAGGGAGTCATCTCAGCTGGTCCCCCAGAAACTCCCCTGGAAACAGGAACCCAAGGGGGGTTGATTGGCCAAGGAGCCATGCTGGGCTTCAGTGTGTTTAAAGCCTGGTGACAACAGGGATCCCAACATGCAACGGTATTACAGCTGAGAAAACAGGGCAGGGGGAGCAAGTGACGCCAGAGAAACTACAGGCTGTGTCCCCGGCACTCCATTCTCCAAACCCCCTCAAGTGCCCAAGGTGAAAAATGGGGATTGCCCAGAACCCCTGGGACCAGCACTGTGCGCCCCAGCTCCCCAAGTCCCACGAAGCCACGGTCAGAAGGGACTGGACAAGCAAGGAGGAGGAAAGACCCACATAGACTTTGAGGCCGGCAATCCCCGGCCCAATCCCAGCTCTGTCTCCTGGGCATGAGAGTTAACTCCTATGAGTCTTCATTTCCTCGGGTGAAAAATGGAAATGATAATAGCAGCTGTCTCTATGGAGATGCTGTGATTAAATGAGATAGTGCATGTAATATGCCTAGTGCATAGTAAATACTCAAAAATAGGTCGGGCACGGTGGCTCACACCTGTAATCCCAGTACTTTGGGAGGCAGAGGTGGGTGGATCCCCTAAGGTCAGGAGTTCGAGAACAGCCTAGCCAACATGGGGAAACCCTGTCTCTACTAAAAATACAAACAACAACAAAAAAATTAGCTGGGTGTGGTGGCCCAAGCCTATAATTCTAGCTACTTGGAAGGCTAAGACACGAGAATCACTTAAATCCAGGAGGCGGAGGTTGCAGTGAGCTAAGATAGTACCACTGCACTCCAGCCTGGGTGACAGAGTGAGACTCTGTCTCAAAAAAAAAAAAAAAAAAACAAGTAGCTATTGGCTTGTCCAAAGGTAGTCAGTGATCGAAAGTAACTGTTCACACTAAGTTACAGATCGAACTCCTTGTTCTACGGTTTTCCCCCTTCTCACTACTGCACTTGACTAGTCTTTAAAAAAAAAAAAAAAAAAGTAGCTATTGTTACTCCAGCGGGTTTCCATGAGTAGCCATGCACCCTTCCACATGGCCAGGACTAGGCTGCATTTGCAAGTATCTGCTGATACTGTGCACCCTGGGTGCCGCCCTCGCCTCGCCCTGCCCTGCACTTTCATTCATCCTTTCACCAGTCTCTGAAGCCTGCTGTATGCCAGACCTGTGTGTAACTGGGTGGTGGGAGACCGGAGGCAAACTGGACCTGAGCCCTGACCCAAACAGGTCCCGCCAAGTAGAGTGGTAAGGGACAGGGACACAAAACCTCAAGATAGCACGAGCAGGGCTGGGAGAGGCGGATGCATCTGAACTTCATGGTAGAGTGCGCCTGCGCCCAAAAGGATAAGGCCCTGAGCCACTGAGGGGCAGGGAAGGGCATTTCTGGCATGGGGACTAGTGGATGTAAAGGCCTGGAGGGTTAAACAAACACGTACAGTGCAGGGTCCAGTGCCCAAGCTGTGTCTCACTGTCCCGCCCCCTGCCTGTGTTCTCTGGGATGGTTTGCCAGTGCTCAGCATTAGAGAAGATGGACTCTCAACTAGAGAAAGGGACAGCAGTCTCTCCCAAGACCCAGGGAGATGGTCAACCCGAGATGGGAAAGGAAGTCAGGTCCCCTCCATGGGGCTGTGTCCTGGCCTTGAGGGCCA